TTTTATGTAGATCGAGTAACAACAGTAGGATTTGATTAGGTTTTGCACATTCCCGTTAGATGTCATAAGCAACTGATTACCAGTAAATAAGTTGGATCACAAATAATGATCACTTTCATACTTATTTACAATACTAATGTTAACGAGGAAGTTCATGAGAAGGGACAAATAAGAGGATTTAACGAAGATTGTAACTGAACTACTGCATGTGTAATATCTGACACCCACTTGTCTAGTCTAAATACTTTCCAAGCATAATATTAACAGTCGGAACTCAAATTAATCGTTGTCATACTGGATAAATTTGATAGGAATGAAAGATCACGAGTAGTAATCTGAAGAGCGAATACTGATTGCGAATTAGTTGTTCAAATCGTATAAAATACTCGGGTACGAGATGTGTGCTTTAAAATGTTTAGTCATTGACCCAATTAACCTAAAAAGTCATACAGATTCTGTGAAATCAATTTAGCTTTTTTCGTTGAGGTTACGAGAGTCAGTCAGTCAGTAACAACGTAGAACTTCGTACGTACGTACATCAGTTCGAGTTGCCACACCACATTAGCACAGAGATGCAGTTGTCGATTCAAATCCCGTAGTGGTAGAGGTAATAAGAGTATATGCAGTAATCGGGAAGATTAGGGTTTGGAGATGTTATTTAAAGAGTATAATCCAGTGAAACAAATTTGGAAAGAGGAAAAAAGGGACATGAAGAATTCAGAAGATTAGAATTTGGGAGAACACAGAGACTGGATGCACCTGCGCCATTGCAAACGATTTTGAGCCATGTCATTCAAGATCTCTAACCATCGGTTGCTGTCATCTCGCGGTCCCCAACCAGGTAGTCTACACCTACCAACATGACTCAGTCCACTTGTCAGTGACTTCATGAACTTGTGCCATGTTTTGGTCTGGCCACCCCTACCTTTCTTCCAACCTACTCCTATACCACTGAGCATCGCACGTCGAGGAAGTCGGTCGTTGGGCATACGTAACACGTGTCCCAGCCATCTCAAATGATGAAGTTTCATTACTTCATCAATTGATTTGCCATCCTTACCTAGTACCCGTTTCCTAACAACTGCGTTACTTACTCGATGGTCCCAGGATATACGAGAAATATTTCAAAGACACCTATGATCAAATACTAGTAGCCTACGGATATCCTCTACTCTTACCGGCCATGTTTCACTGCCATAAAGTAGGACGGAACGAACTGCTGCGCAGTAAACACGTCCCTTGGTTGATAGACGGATATTTCGCCTACACCATAAATGACGCAAGTTGGCAAAAGCTAGTCGAGCCTTCTGTATCCGTGCTGAGATTTTGTCACACACTAAACCACAAGGGCTGATGAGACTTCCAAGATAAGTGAAGCGGTCGACACACTCAACTACTTCACTCCCTATCATTAGTTCGGGTGTCAATGCAACCCAATCCTGGAGCAACATTTTGCACTTCGAGGGAGAGAATCGCATCCCGAACATGCTTGCATTGTTACTTAGAGTGGTCAGAAGACTCTGCATTTTGTCAGCGTCTTCACCAAATAAAACTATGTCATCAGCATATTCTAAGTCAACAAGTGAACCTCCCGGTAGAAGTTCAACCCCTGGAAATTTAGATGAGGAGAGTGTTATCTCTAAAAGTACGTCAATGACAAAGTTAAACAAGAATGGGGAGAGTGGACAGCCCTGACGAACACCACTTGAGGTAATCAATTCTGATGACAGTTCGCCATAAGCTCTCACTCTACCAGTTGTGTTCGAGTAGAGAGCCTTTATAAGGTTAATGTACTTCTTTGGTACTCCTTTCAGTGACAAACACTGCCATAGAACCTCACGATCAACAGAGTCGAATGCCGCCTTGAGGTCGAGAAATACTACCATTGTGGGGCGTCTGAATGTGTTTCTGTGTTCTAGAACCTGACGCAGTGTGAATATCTGATCTATACAACCACGTCCAGGTCGAAAACCGGCCTGGTTTTCTCTAATCTGCTCTTCACGAGCTTTGATTAGGCGTCGAAGTATTATTGAAGTTAATATTTTAGACACTATATTGGTCAAACTGATTCCTCTGTGATTGTCACAAGAGGACTTTTGTCCTTTCTTATAGACTGGCACAATCAGTGATTGAGACCAGTCAGATGGGATTACGTCCAGTTCCCAAATTCTACCTAAGACCTCAGTTAATCTCACTGCTAATACTAAACCAACATCCTTAAAAATCTCAGGAGTAAACCTGTCAGGGCCTGCTGCTCTCCCTCGTTTCAGATTTCCTATGGCTTTTTCAACTTCGTAAAGGGACGGAGGACCTACATTAACTTGCCATTCAGGTCGACTGGAGATCGTGGGAAACCGAAGTGTGGCTGAAGGCCAGTTGAACTGATCCCTAAAGTGTTCTGCCCATCGATCCAATCTCCTGGATTGAGAATGAATAATATGTTCATCTTTCTCTGAGATTGTTTCGCTAACGGTCGGGTTCCTAATTCCGGTTTCCTTAACGAGTCTGAACAATTGTCTGCTATTACCTATTGCCGCTGCCTTTTCCATCTCTCTTGCTTTCGCTACCCACCACTGTTCGCGATCATTGCGTAGACTTCTTGTCAGCTTGCGCTTAAGCTGACTCCGCTTTTCATTATGTTCAGAGCCAGGTGGAATGAGTTTCCGAGCATCTATCAGTGCGATAGATGTTGTTGAGATCCAGTGTTGCTCCCTAACCCTGTGGTTTACCTTACTAGCAGATATCACTGCTGTTTCCACAGCTTTTCGGATATCGTTCCATGCTGCATCGGGGTGGGCATCACATACATGGCTGCCTGTTTGCCTAGTTGTTCCTGAAATATACTCTTAGCTTGACTATCATTAAGTAGGACCCTAAGAGGTTTCCTTGCAGCGTCTTTCCTACGTCCAGTTAGACGCAAGCAAATACGCGCTCGCACTAGAGCATGATCTGAATCTAGGCATGTGCTCCAGAATGAGCGACAATCTTCTATCGAGCCCCTCCATCGGTGGCTGATAGCGATGTGATCTATTTGGGTCCAACGTTGGGACGAATTAGGGGGTCGCCATGTTAAAAGATGTTTTTCCTTATGCTTAAAGTTAGTATTTGCAAGGAACAGGCGGTTATCTGAGCATAGCTGCAACAGACGGTCGCCATTATCTGTTCTTTGAGCCACGATGCTATAAGATCCACCCAGGTGTCTTTCCCTATCGCTTAGTTTACCTACTTGAGCATTAAAGTCACCGGCCACTATTACTACATCAGAGCGCCTAGCTTTTCGGAGAAGGTCGGAGAGCTTTCTGTAAAACTCATCTTTTACATCATCTGAGCTGCAGTCAGTGGGAGAATAGGCAGAGACGACGAAGAGGCTGCGACGAGTGTCCCAATCTTTCCGGATTCTTACTGTTCCGTTCAGTCGGACAGCGCACAAACGACTGTCTACTGGGGTCCACTCTAAGAGAGCTAGTTCTGCCCTAGGACTCAATGCTATTACCTACGCCGGCGAGGCCACGGGAAGCAGAATCAGGGCTTCCAGATACACGAAGCGTAAGTCGAGTCGGTTCTTTATTTTGGCATGGTGAGGTCAAATGAATGACGCCACTCGGATCCTGTATGCGCGTTTCGGAGACGCAGCACACATCGATGGCGCGAGATTCTAAAGTTTTAGCTAAGGAAGCCTGCTGTCCTATTTGGCACAGTGTTCGGACGTTAAAAGCTCCTACGTGTAGTTTAGAGCGTGGTTTCAGGAGACCAGGAATGGCGTTCCACGTACTCGAATCGTTTGCCCTAGCGGTGCGAGGTGATAAAGAGACGTGGGGAGGGTTAGTCGGGGAGATAAGAGAGGTATTAGGAGGTGTTAGAAAGGATTTGAATGTGACCACCTTGGTCTCTTGTGCTGTTACGGGTATGAGGTCTGATGTCACTTCCCGGCTGCCCACACCGTGGAAGGGTATTTCTTGAGGAACCTGAAAAGGAAATTGGATCAGTGTTGGTCTTGACGACCTGGGAGCGTGACAGCAGAGCCCAAGGGACAACTGCTTGAGGCCGGTCGCGCACGGCCTTTTCGTGGAAGGTTTTTGACGTGTTAGCTCCGTTCTTCAAAGGGCCTTACCGCCGGAGACGGAAATCCGTGAGGTAAGGTGAGGTGTGACATTTTTAGGGTCGACCTTTTCTAACCCCACCCCTCCTTGTGGGAAGGCAGCATCGCTGTCATGCTGGTTGTCCGAGGGAAACACCTTACTGCTGTCACAGCCCTCTACAGTCAGCAGTACGACTTCGCCCTCAGACCTTGAGTTGCTGCTTTTAGTCTTACCGTTCTCCAATCGACCTGCCTGGCATGGTAGAACCTGCAGGAACATATGTTCCAGGCAATATAGCTCGGTTGGGTCATCACGATAGGCAAGCCCGACCACCGCGTCAAGGTAGCAGCTTCGATCGGGGAGGTTACGAGAGCCGAACGACCATTGGAAACCAAAAAGTGCTAGACACATGTGTCATCCTGTCACAATTTTTAGAGTGCACTGGTTTCAAAGTGAACACGACACCAGTCTGCATTGGACACTAATGGAACTAATTTTTGAGTAACGCCTTTGACTAAGGTCTCCACAATCCAATGGATGTTAGAGACACAATAAAGAGAGCTCGTAGGACGAGGTTTCGGACACATGGAACGTCAAAGATGGAAATAAATACTAGATCGTAAAATGTTAAGTAGCAACATCTTATAATAACCCTTAACTCACGCAAAATATACCAGCCTCATTATCATGAAGTGCCTTGGATAATCAACCCAACGCCACGTTAGATTGCTACATCCGAAACACTACTACGTTCCGACCTATACCACCAACCAACCATACAGAACATTTAACCCTCGAAACGACGGGATAAAATGAAGACCGCAACTCTAACGTCAGATACTCAGATGAAAAATACTCGTTCACTGTCACTACTATTGCAGCCCCCCAACACTAGGTCTAGGAAGAAAAAATATGCAATTTACTGGGATGTAAAAAAATATATTTCAAGTAGTAGTCAAGTTACATTAAAATCCGCCATCATCAGAGTGCGCATCTACAGTATCTGCAGCAACTTCTTCGTAATCTCTTTCTAGAGCAGCCAGGTCTTCGCGAGCTTCTGAAAACTCTCCTTCCTCCATACCTTCACCAACATACCAATGAACAAATGCGCGTTTCGCGTACATGAGATCAAACTTGCGGTTTAAACGAGCCCATGCCTCTGAAATCGCAGTAGTATTGCTAAGCATGCAAACTGCGCGCTGTACCTTGGCCAAATCTCCTCCAGGAACAACAGTGGGTGGTTGATAGTTAATTCCAACTTTAAAACCGGTGGGACACCAATCAACAAACTGAATTGATCTTCTAGTTTTGATATTTGCGATTGCTGCGTTTACGTCTTTCGGAACAACGTCGCCTCGGTATAACAAGCAACAAGCCATGTATTTTCCATTTCTTGGGTCACACTTGACCATTTGATTAGCAGGTTCAAAACATGAATTGGTAATTTCGGAAACACTCAGTTGTTCATGGAATGCCTTTTCTGCTGATATAATGGGTGCATATGTTGTTAATGGGAAATGGATACGGGGATAAGGAACCAAATTGGTTTGAAACTCGTTTAAATCCACGTTCAAAGCACCACTAAATCGAAGAGAAGCAGTAATGGAGCTAACAATTTGTCCAATTAATCGGTTAAGATTGCTGTATGTTGGTCGATCAATGGTTAAATTTCGTCGACATATCTCATAAATAGCTTCATTATCAACCATAAAGGCACAATCTGAGTGTTCTAACGTTGTATGTGTAGTAAGAATAGAGTTGTATGGTTCAACAACAGCTGTTGAGATATGAGGGGCTGGATATACAGCAAACTCCAACTTAGCTTTTTTACCGAAATCGACGGAAAGACGCTCCATTAATAAAGATGTAAAACCAGATCCCGTCCCTCCACCAAATGAATGGAACACTAAGAAACCTTGGAGTCCTGTGCACCTTTCAGATAGTTTCCGAATACGATCTAGAACCTCATCAACCAACTCTTTACCAACTGTGTAGTGACCACGGGCATAATTATTAGCAGCATCTTCCTTCCCGCTTATCATTTGTTCTGGATGGAACAACTGCTTATAAGAGCCAGTCCGCAGTCTGTCAATAACTGAAGGTTCCAAGTCTACGAAAACAGCACGTGGGACGTAACGACCGTAGCTAGTCTCGCTGAAGAACGTACTGAAAGAATCGTTATCGTTTTTAATAGTTGAGTCACTAGGGACCTTGCCATCAGGTTGTATTCCATGTTCGAGACAATAGAGCTCCCAACAGGAATCGCCCATCTGAGTTCCAGCTTGACCAACATGTAGACTGATACATTCGCGCTAAGAGAGGAATATATAAGTATAGAGATAATCACCTTATAAAATAAACGTATGCAAGAAACTACTTATCTTGATATAAAACATTGTAAACTGTAAGTAATTGATCTTTTGTGACGTGGTCTATGTAGTCGGTAATGAAGGCTGATACAATATTAATGTGAAACAACGTAAAAAGCACTAATCCCATTCGCTTACCCTAGTTACTAAGATTCGGATAAAACGTTAGTTGCATAACTCAATTTTATATTCGATGTCAAGAAACCAAACTCCATGCTCCAACAACCGTAATGTAGCTTAAATATGTCACGGAATTTCAAGTGAGACAACTAAACTGGGTCTCGTGTATACTGATGTGGTAAAATAAAATCTAATTTAGTTATGGAGATCACCACGCTGCTTACCATAATTAAATTGAACACAAAAACGTTTTATGTAATATATCCACTCAATTAATACATGATACTACTAAATGACTCACCATGATTGAAAGCAACCAGACCAAAAGTTTCTCTCGTTCAACTGTAATGTAGGCCTTAGTTCATGTATTTAACTGAATAATATGGAAAAACAAAGCTCCCCGATTGGTCATCATTGACAATCACTCAAGTTTTAAGGGCAGACAGACCCGATCGATTAACATACAAAATTCAACACCCCTACCTAGTCTTAATTTCGATTGGTAAGCATCACAAAGCAAAACAGTTCATGGTCTGATCTATAACATGACCTCTTGAAAATGTTTACAAAACAACATGTATGATGAGATTTCATTGTGGTTAGCACACAAAAAATTTAATAACGTTGACCTTGCAGAGGAATAAATTTTTTCAATGTGAAGCCAAATCACACAAGCAGTCTTTTGTAACAATTTAATGATCGCTTTTTTTACAAAGTGATTAGTTTCTCAGAGCACAGAATCTAAGTATTTTAGTCTAATGATTTAATAGAAAGACCACTTCTATGGAAAATTTAAAGTCTAGTTATATCTAAAAAATATCCTGATTAAAAGCAAAGATGGATAGTGGCCAGCAGTGGAATCCAGGACGAGCGTTTCGTCCCATTTGGGACTCATTAGCTAGATGTACCTGTGTCTCAGAGTTGGTGTTCTCTGGGGCTCGAACCCAGTATCCTGAGGGAACAAATGGTGTATGAACCAATCGTTGGACACCGGCTACCATGGGACTTCATCTTCTTACGATGCTCTACTGTCTTGTGGATCAGACCTTTAGGTCGAAGGCTCCGGGTGTGGCCACCTAAGAAAACCACCTGCTTCGGTTTGGGCACCCGGGCAATATTACAGCCCTCACACAAATCAAATGAGATTTGTGTGGCGCATATGTGTCTGGTGCTCCCTTGAACCAATATCTATGTGCCATACCAAATGTTATTTGTCTTCATGATGCATTTGTTTCCTGTGGAGAACTTGTTCGATGTGAAGTACGAGTCCTAAATGAGATCGAACTTGATTACAATTCGGATGATTTCATTTCAACGGTTGTTTACCCTTATCATGAAGTCATTCCTAACAGATCCTCTAGTCAATGTGCGAAACATGTTGTAAATACCCATAAATGCTCTGGTACGGTCGAGGGGGGGAGAGTCAGCTCTCTCGAAATGCTCCCACATGGCCACACATATACAACCACTGACAGGGAAATCCTACTTCACTGCCTTCGTAAGAGAGGATAGTGTTGGAAAACCTATGGTTCAAATTCTAGATATCAGTACACAGTCAGTCAGCTACAACGTAGGACCAGGCACATATGTGCATCGGTCCAGGTTGCCATACCGCATCAGCACAACAAGATGAACACCGGATTCATAGCAGTGGTTATGTCAAAGGTGGTAATATATAAGAGAAAGATTGCATATAGAGATATAGTACAAGAAGAAAAAATTGGTTCGTAGAAAGAAAGGTGTGAAGCGATTTTAATCTCTTTATTTAAAGGAAGACAGGGAGTGTATACACCTACGCCATTGTGATCGATTCTGAACCATGTCACCCAGTGTCTCCAACCATTGGTTATGATAGTCACGCGGACCCCAACCAAGTAGTCTGCATCTACCAACATGGCTCAGACTAGAAGTTAGTGACTTCAAGCACTGATGCCACGTTTTGGTTTGACCGCCCCTAACTTTCTTCCAACCATCTCCAATACCGGATAGCATTGCACGTCGTGGTAATCGGTATTCACGCATACGTAACATGTGGCCCAACCATCTCAGTCGATGAAGGTTCATAACCTCATCAACTGATTTGCCATCATTTCCTAATACCCTGCGTCTAACCTCACTATTAATTACCCGGTGATCCCAGCAGACACCAGCAATATTTCTAAGGCATCTGTGGTCAAATACTAGTAGCTTACGAGTGTCTTCTACTCTTAATGGCCATGTTTCGCTGCCGTAAATTAAAACAGAACGGACTGCCGCGCAGTGTACTCGTCCTTTTAGTGATAGACGGATATCTGGCCTTCGCCACAGGTGACGTAAGTTGGCAAAAACCAAACGAGGTTTTCGAATCCGTGCTGAGATTTCGTCAGACACCAACCCATTAGGGCTGATCAGAATTCCAAGATAAGTGAAGTTGTCAACGCGTTCGACTACTTCACTCCCTATCCTTAGTTCAGGTGTTGACGCAGACCAGTCCTGAAGCAACAACTTGCATTTAGAGGGAGAGAAGCGCATTCCAAACATTCTAGCATTGTTGCTTAGTGCTACCAGAAGACTCTGCATTTTGTCAGCGTCTTCACCAAACAGGACTATGTCATCTGCGTATTCTAAGTTGATAAGTGGACCTCCTGGAAGGAGATCAATACCCGAGAATTCAGTTGACGAGAGTGTTATTTCCATCAATAGGTCTATGATGAAGTTAAACAAAAATGGAGAAAGTGGACAGCCTTGACAGACACCACTTGAGGTTGCAAAAGTAGATGACAGTTCGCCATAAGCTCTGACTCGACTAGTAGTGTTCGAGTAAAGAGCCTTTACAAGGTTTATGTACTTCTGTGGTACGCCTTTCAATGACAGACACTGCCACAGAATCTCGCGGTCTACCGAGTCAAATGCTGCTTTTAAGTCGAGAAAGACCACCACTGTCGGATGTCGATAAGTATGCCAATGTTCTAGAACCTGACGAATGGTGAATATGTGGCCGATGCAGCCACGACCAGGTCTAAAGCCAGCTTGGTTCTCTCGTGTTTGCAGTTCACGAGTCTTAGTTAAGCGTCTGATAATTATCGAAGCTAGTATTTTAGATATTATATTAGTCAAACTAATCCCTCTGTGGTTATCACAAGATGATTTTGACCCTTTCTTATATATTGGGACGATAAGTGATTGTGACCAGTTAGATGGGATAACGTCTAACTCCCAGATCTTAGCTAAAATATTAGTCAACCTAATCGCTAAAATTGGACCACCATCCTTAAAGACCTCCGGAGCCAGTCCATTTGGTTCAGCTGCCCTTCCTCGTTTGAGACTAACTATAGCCTTTTGAACTTCAGCAAGAGTTGGGGGACCTACTTCAATGTTCCATTCACACTGTCTGGGAATGAAGGGTAGTTGTAGAGTCGCTGAAGGCCAGCTGAACTGTTCCCTAAAATGTTCCGCCCATCGTTCTAAACGTATGGACTGGGAGCAGATGAGAGTATCGTCTTTTTCCGAAATAATCTCACTTACACTTGATTTATTAGTTCCAGTTTCTTTTATTAATCTGTAAAGCTGTCTTGTGTTCCCTATAGTCGCCGCCTTTTCCATCTCTTTTGCTTTCGTTGCCCACCACTGCTCACGGTCGTTTTTTAGACTTTTTCTTAACCTAGATCTGATTTGTTGTCGCTCTTCATCATGTTCGGAACCTGATGGGACGAGTTTGCGAGAATCCATCAGTGTTATAGACTTTGAAGAAATCCACTGGTTCTTTGAAACTCTGTGGTTTAAGTCACTAATAGATTTCATTGCTGTTTCCACAACTGTTTGTATATCTTTCCAAGCAACATCTGGGTCAGCCTCGTTTTCAGATCTACCTAAGTGTGACCTCAGTTGTTCCTGGAACCTACTTTTGGTTTTCTCGTTACTCAACTCAGTTCTAATGGGTCTTTTTAATGTGACTTTTTTGCGTCCAGTGAGGCGCAAGCAGATGCGTTCCCGTATTAGGGCGTGATCGGAGTCCAAACAGGTACTCCAGAATGAGCGATAATCTTCTACCGACCCTCTCCAACGATGACTGATGGCAATATGGTCTATTTGAGTCCATCGTTGGTTTGGTGTAGGGGTCGCCATGTTAGACGATGTCTTTCCTTATGCTTAAAATTTGTGTTTGCTAAAAATAAACGATTGTCTGAGCATAGTTGCAGCAGACGATCACCATTATCTGTTCGCTGTACCGGTATACTAAAATACCCACCTAAATGCCTTTCTGTTTGGTTTAAACTACCTATCTGGGCATTAAAGTCGCCTGCTACGAGTACAATGTCTAAACGTTTAGCTTTCTGAAGAAGTTCAAATAAATTTCTGTAAAATTCATCTTTCGTTTCATCTGAGCTGCAGTCGGTGGGAGCGTAGGCAGAAACGACAAAAATGCAACGACGTGCGTCCCTATCCTTCCGAGTTCTTACGGAGCCGTTTAGCCGAACAGCACATAGACGACTGTTGACGGGGATCCACTCTAGCAGTGCTTGTTCCGCCCTCATGCTTAGTGCTATGCCTACACCTGCCGGTCCACGAGAACTGGCCATCGGGTCACCAGATACACGGAGGGTGTATCTCGTTGGCTCTCCGTTCTGCCGAGGTGGGGTCAAGTGAATGACCACACTGGAATCCTGTATGCGTGTTTCGGAGACACAGCATACATCAATGGAAAGAGACTCTAGGGTTTTAGCCAAGGAAGCCTGCTGACCGATTTGACATAGGGTGCGTACGTTGAAGGCTCCAATGTGTAGTGTGGAGCGAGGTTTTAGTAGACCTGGGACAGAGTTTTGAGCACTAGAATCGTTGGCTATGGTGACACTTGAGGAGGAAGCCGAAAGAGGAAGTTTAGAGTTGAAATTCGATGTAGGAGGAATAATAGGAATTGAAGAGGGAGGTTGATTATGAATACAGTGGTCTCGAGTGCTGTTAGAGGTATAAGGGCGGTTATCACTTCCCGGTTGCCCACACCGAGGAAGAGTTCTTCTGGAGGTACCTGAAAAGGAAATTGGATTAGAGGCGGTCTCAGTGACCTGAGAGCGTGACCGCAGTGCCAAAGGGACAACTGCTTGAAGCCGGTCGCGCACGGCCTTTTCGTGGAAGGTTTTTGACGTGTTAGCTCCGTTCTTCAAAGGGCCTTACCGCCGGAGACGGAAATCCGTGAGGTAAGGTGAGGTGTGACATTTTTAGGGTCGACCTTTTCTAACCCCACCCCTCCTTGTGGGAAGGCAGCATCGCTGTCATGCTGGTTGTCTGAAGGAAACACCTTACTACTGTCACACCTCTGTACAGTCAGCAGTACGACTTTGCCTTCGGACCTTGGGTTTGTTGCTTTTAGTCTTACCGCTCTTCAACCGACCTGTCTGACATGGTAGGACCTTGAGGAACGGTTGTTCCAGCCAGTATAGCTCGGTTGCTTCATCACGATAGGCAAGCCCGACCACCACGTCAAGGTAGCAACGACGGTCGGGTATCAGTACACAACCGACATATTGATCATATACAATTCCAGGACCCAGGTGAATCCGTTCCAACTTCATTTGTTAATTCCAATACTAATGAACATATTCTAAATCAGGCCGAGTTTGTATCCAATACATAGTCTGACAGACATACAATGAACCTAAGATGTTCAATTGATTACAGAAACCTAGATTCCAATCTAAACTGTTGTGTTTGTACTGCCTGATTTTGAATTTTAAATACAATACGCTTGTTTGTGCTTACCTAGTTTTATCCGACTTAAATTGCGTTATTTCGGGGATTCCAAGTTAATACAATAATCTGAATACTTCTAATCATCACAAACACATACAGCTGATTATTATAAAATATAATAATCAAAACATCCCGTCATATCATAAATGAATGAAATCAGAATTAATTTAAAATGAGGTACCAAGTCTCAACGTGACCGTGAAATGCACTTTGCATTCACTATTTTTATTCGCTGAGTTGAATGGATTTGCTTCCACTATTACCAGTAATTCATTTTCAATCACAAATAGTTAATTTGGATACCGTGGTTATGATTATTTAATACTGTAAAGTCAGTTTTGATGCTTGTTGTCGCTAGTGAAACAACTGTTACGAAGTTGAATCGAACTGCTTACTCCGTTCCCGCCAACAACAACCTAAAAGATTGAGGGAAAAATGAAATCACTATGAGAATAAGAAATCTGTCGGAATTCGAAAGCTAAATGCTTGGTAAATCATAAAAATGAAAATGTGAATCTAATATATGCTCAAGAATTCTTCTTTGAAAATTACTGAAGAGCTTATGAGACTGAAAGAAACAAATGGACATAAAGATGCTACAAGTATATGGTGGTTGACAATACCTAAACCAGTAACACCTACTGTAATCAAAACGTACCAACAAAGTGAAATCAAAAGATAGAAGAGTTTGAATGATATATTAAACAGCCTATCGACATAACGAGAAATGACTAATCTAAGCTGGCTAGCGGATGTAGGAAAAGTAATATACAGAAAAAAATTAGTAATCTCGTGAATGAGCGTAAAAGCAATAAACATATACACATATAGTTTATTTATTTGAACACATATATATTGGTACAGGAGTGCGCCGAATATATATGCGCCACATAAAACAATGAGAAACTAAGAAAAAAAGTGAGGAACGTAAAAATATGATAATAATAATAACAATAACGAAGAGGTTGGTGTAAGGTAGTGTAATAATAATAATAGCAATAGTAGGGGAACAGAAGGGTACAATCAGAAGAAATCTTTCAGTTAAGGAAGATACAACCACTTTTTTATGAAGAAAGCAAAAGGTTACAGCAGGATCGCCACTGGCTTCTATTCTGAACCATATCTGATAACGTCTCTAGCCACTGTGTTGCACCATCTCTCGGACCCCAACCAGGGAGTCGTGAAGGACCGACACAAGCCAGTCCTTTGAAGCTTTCTTTCATATCACGACACCATGTCATACACTGACTACCTCTTCGCCTTTTCCAACCAGTCCCACCGTCGGCAAATAATGCACGACGTGGAATTCGCTGGGACGACATTCGTAGAACATGTCCAAGCCACCGAAGTCGATGTTTCAAGATGGTGACACCGATTGCATTATCGTCTCTGTGCCCGAACACACGATGCCGAACCTCTGCATTACTAACATGGTGTTGCCACTGGATGTCAGCAATCCTTCGGAGACAGCGATGATCGAACACAGAGAGTCGTCTAACAT